AATCTACTACGAAAAGAGTCGCGCCAGACGCCCGTCGAATCTACTACGAAAGAGTCGCGCCAGACGCCGTCGAATCTACTACGAAAGAGTCGCGCCAGACGCCCGTCGAATCTACTACGAAAGAGTCGCGCCAGACGCCCGTCGAATCTACTACGAAAGAGTCGCGCCAGACGCCCGTCGAATCTACTACGAAAGAGTCGCGCCAGACGCCCGTCGAATCTACTACGAAAGAATCACGCCAGACGCCCGTCGAATCTACTACGAAAGAAGTACGCCAGACGCCCGTCGAATCTACTACGAAAGAGTCGCGCCAGACGCCCGTCGAATCTACTACGAAAGAGTCGCGCCAGACGCCCGTCGAATCTACTTCAAAAGAGTCGCGCCAGACGCCCGTCGAATCTACTACGAAAGAGTCGCGCCCAGACGCCCGTCGAATCTACTACGAAAGAGTCGCGCCAGACGCCCGTCGAATCTACTACGAAAGAGTCGCGCCAGACGCCCGTCGAATCTACTACGAAAGAGTCGCGCCAGACGCCCGTCGAATCTACTACGAAAGATCACGCCCAGACGCCCGTCGAATCTACTACGAAAGAGTCGCGCCAGACGCCCGTCGAATCTACTAAGAAAGAATCACGCCCAGACGCCCGTCGAATCTACTACGAAAGAGTCGCCCAGACGCCCGTCGAATCTACTACGAAAGAGTCGCGCCACCAGACCCGTCGAATCTACTACGAAAGAGTCGCGCCAACGCCCGTCGAATCTACTACGAAAGAGTCGCGCCAGACGCCCGTCGAATCTGCTACGAAAGAGTCGCGCCAGACGCCCGTCGAATCTACTACGAAAGAGTCGCGCCAGACGCCCGTCGAATCTACTACGAAAGAGTCGCGCCAGACGCCCGTCGAATCTACTACGAAAGAACACGCCCAGACGCCCGTCGAATCTACTACGAAAGAATCACGCCCAGACGCCCGTCGAATCTACTACAAAAAAGTCGCGCCAGACGCCCCCTCGAATCTACTACGAAAGAGTCGCGCCAGACGTCGAATCTACTACGAAAAGATACGCGCCAGACGCCCGTCGAATCTACTACGAAAGAGTCGCGCCAGACGCCCGTCGAATCTACTACGAAAGAGTCGCGCCAGACGCCCGTCGAATCTACTACGAAAGAGTCGCGCCAGACGCCCGTCGAATCTACTACGAAAGAGTCGCGCCAGACGCCCGTCGAATCTACTACGAAAGAGTCGCGCCAGACGCCCGTCGAATCTACTACGAAAGAGTCGCGCCAGACGCCCGTCGAATCTACTACGAAGAAGTCGCGCCAGACGCCCGTCGAATCTACTACGAAAGAGTCGCGCCAGACGCCCGTCGAATCTACTACGAAAGAGTCGCGCCAGACGCCCGTCGAATCTACTACGAAAGAGTCGCGCCAGACGCCCGTCGAATCTACTACGAAAGAGTCGCGCCAGACGCCCGTCGAATCTACTACGAAAGAGTCGCGCCAGACGCCCGTCGAATCTACTACGAAAGAGTCGCGCCAGACGCCCGTCGAATCTACTACGAAAGAGTCGCGCCAGACGCCCGTCGAATCTACTACGAAAGAGTCGCGCCAGACGCCCGTCGAATCTACTACGAAAGAGTCGCGCCAGACGCCCGTCGAATCTACTACGAAAGAGTCGCGCCAGACGCCCGTCGAATCTACTACGAAAGAGTCGCGCCAGACGCCCGTCGAATCTACTACGAAAGAATCGCGCCAGACGCCCGTCGAATCTACTACGAAAGAGTCGCGCCAGACGCCCGTCGAATCTACTACGAAAGAGTCGCGCCAGACGCCCGTCGAATCTACTACGAAAGAGTCGCGCCAGACGCCCGTCGAATCTACTACGAAAGAGTCGCGCCAGACGCCCGTCGAATCTACTACGAAAGAGTCGCGCCAGACGCCCGTCGAATCTACTACGAAAGAGTCGCGCCAGACGCCCGTCGAATCTACTACGAAAGAGTCGCGCCAGACGCCCGTCGAATCTACTACGAAAGAGTCGCGCCAGACGCCCGTCGAATCTACTACGAAAGAGTCGCGCCAGACGCCCGTCGAATCTACTACGAAAGAGTCGCGCCAGACGCCCGTCGAATCTACTACGAAAGAGTCGCGCCAGACGCCCGTCGAATCTACTACGAAAGAGTCGCGCCAGACGCCCGTCGAATCTACTGAAAGAGTCGCGCCAGACGCCCGTCGAATCTACTACGAAAGAGTCGCGCCAGACGCCCGTCGAATCTACTACGAAAGAGTCGCGCCAGACGCCCGTCGAATCTACTACGAAAGAGTCGCGCCAGACGCCCGTCGAATCTACTACGAAAGAGTCGCGCCAGACGCCCGTCGAATCTACTACGAAAAGTCGCGCCAGACGCCCGTCGAATCTACTACGAAAGAGTCGCGCCAGACGCCCGTCGAATCTACTACGAAAGAGTCGCGCCAGACGCCCGTCGAATCTACTACGAAAGAGTC